ACGCCAAAGTTGATAGTTAGCATGGTCCCGGGAACAACTCTGACCCATCTACATACCTTTTACCTCACAACAATCAATCACGTGACCATTCTCCCACGCCGATCTTATAAAAACCCCTTCCTTCCCCTTCTCGGGGGAGTCGTTCCAGAGCAGGTGCCAGGAGCCAATAACTTTAAAAATAGTGTTCTTTTTAAACAGTGAACTTTCCTACATCAAAGGTTTAAATTTTTAAACAGTGAAACTTTCCTAAATCAACGATTTAAATTTTTACCTGTAAACTTTCCTAAATCTAAGTGTGGAGAATTTTCCTCGGTGGATAACAGATCAAGAGGTATGGAACCAATTATTGTAAGTTCTCTCTCGGTCTCTCCGCGTTTTAGGGACGCGAACTAGACGTTGTATTACCCGAAACTTGCATTAATAAATTGTTAATTTTTCTTATGTTACATCTGGCCTCCTCGTTTACTCGTATATCGCCTGTCGTCTCACCGACGCACTCCTCCCTCCACCACTCGACCCGAAACATTAAAGCCCGTTACTGCGGGAAAAAGACTCCTTCCACCCATCCTGACCGTGAACAGGATTAAACAGCCATTGCCAGATTGGTAGACCTACCCCCCTTACCGGTGGTTCACAGACATATATATATATATATATATATATAAGTCAGAAAAAACTAATTCAAGAGAACATTGTTATGTATCGTACAAACAAGCATGTAGTGACCAGTAAATTTGCAGTTATTTCTATACAAAATTAAAATATTGATGTGTTTAAATAAATTTATATACATAAAAACAATAACAGAAAAATAAACAAGAGAAAAATATAGCTGAATGGAATGGGTCATTATTCTCTTTCTGATTTATTCTGTTAAAACAGGGTTTCTCAACGGGGGCGATATCGCTCCCATGTGGGCGTTTTTCCATGTTGAGGGGCGATTAGTAAAAATTTATATTTGGGGGGCGAAAAATAATTTTCTGGGCTATATAGTAAAGCATTATATAAAAAATAATTAGATATTTTATTCGTTATATCGTACAATAATTAAACAAATAACATTAAACTAGTCACTAGTCTATTCAATGCAGTACGAATTTCGCGTTAGTCTTGGTCCTCGGCATCGNTAAATAAACAAGAAATAATAAGAAACAAAAATATATTACAAATATGTAAAAGAAAAGTAGCATGAGCTATTTTTAGTAATCATAATTTACAAACATAAAGTTATACATAGCTTAATTTGTTGTGTCAGTCTCCTAAAAATAATTCTTATAATACTGATTTTTATAAAAGGAAAAGAGCTTAATTCTTAGATTAAAAGTTAGTTTTTACTAAATCTGTAAAGGTTAATAATTAGTAAAAGTATTGTTAAGTAATAAGTACTACCCTCCATATCTATATTTAGTACTACCCTCTATATATGACAAATGACTCCTCTTAGTTTCAAAATTTTTGATTGATCCAGTCCTCAGGTATAATGTAAAATAAAAATAAATGCTGAAAAATACAAACACATATGTACATAATTTTGTACAGTTATTATTATATTTTGTTTTTCGGTTCTTGGAGCGTAAAAATGTGGAGGAATGCAAAATAAAAAAAACGAGGTACAAAATTCAACCAGTCACTATGGTCTTCTCATGTTATATTCTATAACAGCCGAAAATGTGATAGTAAAAATGATAAAATGCAATCAAATACACCATGCAAAGCATTAAAATATTAACTGATCATAAGAGTTTTACAAAATACTTTGTATCTCCTAAATTATATAACGAATTTATTTACCAGATTTTCTCAAATTTTTCTGTCATCGTGATTTTCTTGTATAAAATATTCACGATTTTGTAAGAATATTCACCATTAAATATTTTTCAAACTCATTCTATCCTGTGAAAAATGAAATTAGTAAGCTGAAGAAGATGACAGTGTTCAAAGGCTTTCTGAAATGCAGACTTAAACTGCATATTCATTCAGAAATTGTATACTACTTGCATGTAACATCAAATTAATAAGACGCAATGCTTAGAAACAAATAATTTTAATAAATGTAATATAATCAGAATACTAATATGTTTTGAATGATAGGATAATTTCATTTATAACACATTTTTAATTTATTAGTGTAATATTTCTCAGCAGATTTCAGTGCAATACATTATCACATAAAATTTATAAAAATACTGTATCTACATATTTAACACTCACCTTTCTATATATAAGAGAGCAAAAAGCTATCTTTAACTTCATCCCATACACTTCTGTCATGAAAGTATTAGTATTATATGTAAACACATAAATTGCAGTCAGGCCGAAAAATCCTGTAACAGTTAAATAGATGTTGTATTCATTCCATTCCGATCTGTTGTCAAAATAATATGTTGTTAATCCCAATAAGTACACTTGGCCTGCAACTACTACTGTTTCCTGTAAAAAATTATATATATAAATCAGTATCATTAATTACTTTAATACATGCTTTACGTATTTGAAATCAGTTGTTACAATACTTGAATTAGTGCAAGTAAAAGTATTATTAAGTATTTCCATCCAACAAATCGCAATAAAGCTTTCAAAATGCTTGAATGTCTCTTCTGTAGTTCCTTGTTCCACTCTCTGAAAAAAAATTATAATAATAGTTAGCAATTGAAAATGCTTCAATGCTGTAAAGTGGTACAGAACTTTATAAGTGTCCTCACATTGTCATTCATATTAATGTTATCTATGAGCATCAAAGACTTATGCATAAATTAGAAAAATATAAAATTCACTAACTTGTAAATTAAGTTACTTACTTCTGAAGTAAATTCCCAAGGTACTCAGAAGTGTGATATTTTGATGTTCTGTACACATCATCTTCTTTTAGAAATTTTTTCCTTCCTTTGTTTATTATTGGTAAAACCCAACTGAAAAATAAGTTACAAGTATGTTTATTAATAATATTGTTAAGGATAATTTTCTGCAGCGGATAGTTTCGAAATTGCATTATTAGAGTGACATCAAAGAATACTGAGTAATATTCATTATGACATTTTCTGTGTTATAGGACGGTTTACTAGATAAATTAAAATAAACAAAGCATGTATTTCATACCTTTACTAACTTGTACCATTTCTCACGCATCAAACTGTGTTGTAAAATTAGAATTTGGCTTTACAATAAAGCCAAATTGCATGTTGAAAGTGAAGCGAAACGCCATGTCTTTGCAACGAATCCTCAATCATGAAACAACATAAAGGTATAAAAAGAACAAGTTCTGTTCACGGGAAGTGTGTTGAAATGATGAAAACCTCAATGGAAAAGAATGACGAGACAATCAGAGAGATCTTACAAGAAAACACATGTAAGACCATCAGGAAGGTAGGCAATGCAGATGTTGCAAAATATATATCAGGAAGTTGAATAATGTTGAATATTCTCTCCGAATGAAGAGAAACACGTAAAATTTTGCGAAGAAACAATAAATTCCGATATTTACAATATAATTTGGTAACTTTCTCTACAAATTGTATACTTTACTTTTTTTATAATCTTTATCTAATTTAATTTCTGGCCATTTAAAATTTCTCGGTATCAATTCGGACAACGTGTACTGTGGCATAAAGTTAAATTTATAATACGTATTTATTTTTCGAATGACTTGTATATTCTAGAACCTCTATCTACTATAGTACTTCCTTTTGGGCTTACTGTAAGGAGTTTCTTCCAGACAACTTTATTTACATTAGATGGCTGAAGTGAAGATTCAAGTAACAAAATTTGATATGTATGTACTCTTCGTAGATTTATAAACAACCGGATAAATGTTTTCTACTGATAAATTACTAAACAAGCGTGTTTTGTGCAATCGAATTTGGCCTACTTCATCATAGATGAACATAATTAAAAATAATTTAATATTAAATTTTAATAAAATTTTAAAATTTAAAATTTAAAATTTGTTAAATATATGTAGCTAAGGGAGTTGACATTCAATAAGTTATATTGCGAATCAATTGCATCAATATACACACATAAAAACAGTTGCAAAGATAGCATTATTATGTTATAAAGTAGAATTGATTTTGAGAGGCAAGTTTTCATGTATTGGAGCACCATACTGAGTGTTCTCTTTTCACTTTTTCGGCTGTTATATATAACAGAAGAAAAGTATAGCGATTGGTCTCCAAAGATTTTTACATGTTTTGACTCAGGACACATTTAAACGGCGAGGAATGCGAAGAATTCGAGATTTTCTTTTCTCTATGTATAAAGGTTAGTGGGTTTGTAGATAGACAATTTTGTTCATCATCTTTGAAGTTTAAACATTCCTGCGTTTTTTGTCGAAAATTTCTGTATTAGGGTAAATGACGCTTTTAAATTTTAAAGGTAGGGGGTAGGGAGATAAAGTGGCCGTGTTATATCTCCAATAGTGTCTGATTTAATGACAATTTTATTTGTTATTAGCAAATAATTTTCACATTGATAAATGGAATGTTTTTATAAAACTTATCTCTACTTTCAAAATTAAGTTTTTTGTTTTAATATGTTTTTAATAATTAAAAATATTAAAAAAAATTTATAATAAAATATCATAACATATAGCGCCAGATGGAAGTACTTGGGTGTGAATAAGAGATTCTTTACTGCGTTTGTGAATTTGGAGAAAGCATATGATCAAGTGGAAAAAGATCTTCAGTGATTTTTTCCATGAGTGTGTGTAAACAGCAAGCTGCATAATGTGATAAAATGTGTAAATAAAGCAAAAAATGTACCAAGGTGTCTGTCAATGAGACTACGGTCATGCATTAGCACTATGTGATTTTTCTCAGGTTATTCAATGTATCCCTGAACGATTGTGTGATCAGTTTTTTAACTGATCACACAATCAAACCATATTGCAAACCATATTATTCTGAAACTGTTTGATGAATTGTACAAATGCTTATTGTATACTGATAATATCGTTGATTGGTCGAAAGCTAAACTGAACTGCATTATCTTATGTTGGAAGTAAACGAGTTTTACGAAAAATTGCATCGAGAATAAATGGAAAAAAACGAAAGTTTTAATGTTTGAAAGAAATGAGCAAATTAGTGAGTGCAAGATATAGGTAAACAGTGAGACATCAGAACAGTTAAGGAAGTTTAAGCACCATTGAACGAATAGCAGAATAGATAAGGTTATCGGAAGACGAGTAAATGCTTGTATAAAAGTAGATGTGTGCACAGAACGATTAGGTTGTAGGAATGTATTTTCAGATGAGGCAAGTATAGCTCTGTACGATGTGGTTCTTCCGAATCCGTTGTATGCTTGTGAGTCGTGTGTATAAGGAATAAAGCATAAGCGCGAAATGTTTACCGCTGAGATAGAATATCCACAGTATATGTATGCTGTGATCTGGAGAATTATGATCATTAAAAAGGAAGTGTTGGTGCAGTGGGGTGAAAAAGAATACAAATGAACAAATAAAGAGAATGTGGCAAGATGAGAGGTATAAGAAGTTGTATGTGGTAAGTGTGGAGGAGAGCAGAGGGTGTGGAAGACAAGGAAAAGATCGCTGACCAAGTGGATCACTTTCTAAAAGAGGAATACACTCTGTGAGTATGGAGGCGCCGAGAGAGTGTGAAAGGAATCATGAATGTGGAAGAAGCAAAAGATGTATGTAGGAAAAGACAGAAAAGGCCCAAGATTGTCATATATGGATATTATGGATGATTTAAGCAAATCCGAAGTGAAAGATTGGGTGACTGTTTCCGGTGTGCTACACTCTGCATGCATGGTGTTCTCTGGAGGGCTGAAGCTTGTATGGTGCCTTGGATAGAAAATTTAGTTTTTTTTGGTCACTCCTTTAAGCAATGTCGTGACAGTACAGTAAGTAAGCAAATAGTTTTTATTGGTAACGTTATATTGTATATATAATTANCCATGCCTTACGCCGCCCTTGGTCATAGAAATGATGTAATTTGAATATAAATAATTTATAAATACGTATGTCAGGTTATATTTTTATTACTACGTAAAATATTTTTAAGAGTTTACGACCACTGTGCTTGGTGAGACGTTGTTGAAACAAAAAATGTTATGCATTCCATCACGTACATAAATAGTATCATAATTCGCCATGTGCAAATCAGCAAATTCATAAAATTTTTGTTTATTTTTAACAATCCGGATAATCGAAAATCCGGATAATAGAGGTCCGGATAATGGAGGTTCTACTGTATTTTTAAAAAGTTAAAAAAATTTAAATATTCGCAAAGAAATTAGCTATTTAAAGATTAACAAGTAAATTATAGTTATTATTTTATACAAAAAAGGAAAATCGAAGTATTTTTATTTGAAATTAAATACTGTAGAATTATTCAGAAATATAATTAACTATAATGATAATGATAATATAATTTTATTACTCATCATTTCTCACAGAATTATAATGACATGTTTAATAACAATAATTCAAATGTCGATTTCTTGAGAATCATCTTGTTTATAAAATCGTACTGCTGTTTTATGTTACCAGCTTAGAGGTATGAAGAAGTACATGTCGAGAGTTGATATTTGGCACAAATTATTAGGTGCCCAAATCATTTGCGCATAAAAAAATCCAGACTCGTAGGTAGTCAGGGGACCGAGAACCAAGTCAAAATACAAAATGGCGATCCTCTTCTACAAACAGGCAAAACAGCCACCTCACCCCACCGAAATCAAGACGGGAGAGTACCACCCACAGTCATTCTAAGAAGTGAACTCTGACCTTAGGACTGAACACGTAGTTTCTTCTGTTAAATAAAATTTGTAATCTAATTTTGTAAATTTGAGAGTGCTTCAAATATGACGTTAAAACGGTTTTGTCTTTACAAGTGGGTAAAATCGTGGGACCGATAAAAATTTGACGTTATATTAGGGTTGTCATTACATCCGATGGCGTTATAATCGGGTTAAACTGTAAACAGTATTCGTGCAAAATAAAAAAATAATTTCGGACGATACAATAGTCACGATTACTTTTTTCAAAAACGGGAAATTTTCGTTACGAATCGACAAAAATTCAACCCGGGCCGACACGCCACAGAGAGAAATTTCGAAATTCGATAGGTTCATTTCATCGACAATGCATCGTGGCCGGCGAAATTTGAACGATCGCGCCCAAAAGCAGCGATACCAAAGAAGATTGGAGAATGAGAACGAGACCCGCCTTGAGCATCAAAGTGATTCTGCTTAGTAGTGAGTCTCCGAGACATAGTCTTGTCCCAATTACGGTTTTGCCGTTTTACTTGTTTAAATTTAATAAACTTCGAGCCATCAACTATATTTATATGTTTATAGAATTAGAAAAGACGTGTTCAAAGAAAAAAACAATCGTCTGTTATTGTAACAAAAAGAAAAAGAAAAAATAGGAGTCCTAATTACTACAATTCATGAAGATAAGAAAAACGTTCAAAGAGCAGAAATCTGAAATAATATTATCTTATAGGTAAAGCAGGAATTGACACGTTGTTAAATGATGAAGAGAATAACTAGAAATTGGGCATTAATGACATTTTACAATATAATTGCGCTACTGTGCTGAAATCTTTCATAATGGGGACATTTATTATTTCCAGCAAGGTACAACATCACCAGTTTATTACAAATTTAGGTAAAGCACTAGCAAAGGTAAATGTATATTTATTTACCTTTGCACAGAGTAAATGGCTAAATCCGATGAAAATTTTCATGAAATACAGTACTTCCGAAAAACACATTTATGCACGTGTCCTCCCTTTTTGGACCGTAAAAATTATTTTAAAAAAATTTACNATTCAATAAGTTATATTGCGAATCAATTGCATCAATATACACACATAAAAACGGTTGCAAAGATAGCATTATTATGTTATAAAGTAGAATTGATTTTGAGAGGCAAGTTTTCATGTATTGGAGC